TAAACAAGTCAATAAAAATCCGCTGGTTTATAATGGTATTCATAACTAAAATAATCGCACCATACAAGTGTCTAATAAATGTGGTACTATATATGTTCTAAACTCTAGATAAAAAATTGATAACTGATAATCACCTGTGTAACATAAAAAATATATAAATGTCGTAAATGTACCAAATTCATAATAAAAAGCTCATAAAGCGCAAAAATACATGGGTTTAAGAGGTAAAAAAATGTTGGTGCCATAATAACCAATTAGAATTAAGTAGTGGATAAATGGTGATCCCCCTCCTCAGGAATGCACTGCGATCACCAATGACGTTTCGGAGAGCCCGAGACCTGCACTAACGCCACTCGTCAGGGGCGTGTCCTTGCAACAGATCTCACCGCCTGCACTTTACATTACACGTTCACATTAGTTTAGGCTAAAATCCTCTCGATATCTCGAACCTTAATGTAGACAAGGTCATATACACGTGGTTCATTGCAAAAAGAAGTCAACAAGTACCAATTGATCGTACCATACTAAAAGAAAAGGCACTAAAATTCGCAGAAGCATTATGAGAGTTGGATTTTAAAGCATCTGATTGTTGGTTTCATAATTGGAAAGAAAAATTCAATTATTCTGTTCCTATTTTTAGGAACGGCATCAGCTTTAAAATAATCTCAGACGAAAGTGCCGCCGCGACGAATAATATGACTGTTTCGTGGAATGAAACTACACTTCCAACATTGCTTTTGAATTACAATTTTGAAAACATTTTCAATGCCGATGAGTTTGGACTATTTTACCAGTGCCTACCAAACAAAACATACCATTTATCACGAGAAAAATGTTTTTGGGGAAAAAATAGTAAAGTCAGACTAACAGGCATAGCAGCAGGGAGTGCAACGGAAGAAAAATTACCTATGTTTGTTATTGGAAAATCTAAAAACCCACGGTGTTTTAAGCACATTAATAGCGTTGACGAAGCTATTGACGTCGAAGCCAGGCCACGCCCATCTGATATTCAATTAGAAATTGCTTTTGAAACGATTTAAAATGTTTCGCTATACAGCTCAAAATACGGAAATGAAATACAATCCCTAGCACTAAAACTTGAAGATTTAATGAAGATGGAAAAGATGAATTATTTAAATCAATATCAGATAACAAGTTTTTTCCAAAAGTTGTAGTTTTTGTTGTTAATGATTTTTGTCAGAAAAATAACTTGTTTTAATGAAAGTCGGGCAATTTTATTTATTTTCAACCCTTTTCTTGATATCTCGAACTCTCGATATCTCGAACTTTTTTTCCGGTCCCCTTAGTGTTCGAGATAACGAGAGTTGACTGTAATAAATATGATTGGATGTCAGCATATGGCTGTTTTTCTCACGGTCTAAATTTATAAGCTTGTGACTTAGTAAAGAAGAACAACACAATTTCCGAAACACTAAAGCAAAATAAACAAGTAGTTAAGTTTTTCAAAAATAAACATGCTTTAAAGAGTATCCTTGAGCGCTGTAGTCTACATTTTCTGAAAAAAAATTTGACTTTAATTCTTCCTGTTGTAACTAGATGGTCATCTGAGTTTTCAATGTTACAGCGCAATTTGCGCCTTTGTAAATTGCGTGACTCATTGCGATCAGTCACTTGGGCTTTCTCATCAGGCAGTAACTGATGAGAAAGCCCAAGAACATATTGAAAAACACAATAAAAAAAAAAGGAATTAACCTTAAAGAATTAGTGTTAAATGTGTTATTTTGGAAAAAGACAGATTTAGCTTACAAACATCTAAAGCCTGTATCAGAGGCTATCAGAGATTTTGGAATCAGAGTTTGATACAGCATCTGTGTCTATTGTAGAACAAGTCTATTCATATGTCACAACTGAAATATCTGATGTGTTACAAAACACAACACTGCTGACTTTACAAGAAAAAGAAAGTGGTACTACTTGTGTTAAAAAACGTGAAGACTTTGTCATTAGACCAATACACTTTGCAGCTAATTTGCTTGATCCAAGATTTGCTGGTAAAGAGTTAAATCATTCAGAAATGGTTTTTAGCATATAGCAGCATATGCTCAGAATAGCTGAAAATGAAACACTAGCTGCTGATGTTATACTGGATGAACTAATGAATTTTAAAGCTCGTAGTGGAATATTTAGCCAGGATAGTCACAGCTATATTTGGAAGCTTAGTGTAGAGTGTAATCCAGTTGTATGGTGGAAAGCATATGCACCTACAACATTATTGAGCAGAATGGCGTTCATATTATTATCTTGTAGCTGCAGCATTGCATCTGCTGAGCATGCAAACTAAGAATTTTCATTGCAAAAATCTAAAATGCGAAATCGTTTAACTGATACAAGAGCATTAAAGCTGTTATTTATTGCTTATAATTTGAAAATACAAAATAGATTGGTTAAATGTAATTCTAAAAAGAAAAAACATTTATGTTTAGAAAAAAAAAAAGATTGATGATAAAAACAATGCAATCCTTCTAATCGCTCAATGATAATGACGATCCATAACTTCTTATCGCTCAATGATAATGACGATGAATATGACAGTGAATATTTAAGTGATGACAGTGTTGATTTTCGCATATTAAGCATTAACATTTAACCAAGTATTTTATTATATTATGATAAAATCTGTAGCATAATTTAAAAAAGATTTAAAAAGTTCATTTAATAAATTCAATTTATTAAATTGCAAGAAAATTTTTTTTCAGTTATTTAAAAATAAAAAAACAAAAATCATCCCAAAACTTTGCTTGTGTTTTTCCATTCCTATATATTTTTACAGGAAATATACTAAAATTATATAACTTTAAAAAGGATTACAAGTATAATTATTTCCAATTTTGTTTATTATCTAAGAATAGATTAGTAAATTAAAAATAAAAAAAAATTGAAAATTCGAGCAAAATTTCCCGGAAATTTTCAACACTACTTGTAACCTTAGACCATTAAAACTGATAGACACGGCGTTTTCGTAAATCTTTGAAGCCAGAGAATGTGACGTCACTTTGTGGCAAAAAACTAGAAAAAACAAACTAGTAATAAGATTTTATTTAAATTTTTTAGAAAAATTCTTTTGATTAGAAATATATAGATTATATTTTTATGGGATATATTCTTATAAAGACTAAATATAGTAATTACTACGTCAATTCTTTAAAATTATTAATTAATTACTATTGTAATAAATACAAACTCTTATCCGTGAAATAATATATCTTTACCAGTTTTACTTCTTTTTGTGCAATTATATACACCCTAATTAAGATTAATTAAAAAATATAAGATAAATGCAAAAGCAATCTCGACCTAAAAATGATTTTTTTGCCACAAAATAACGTCACTAAGCAAAACTTTTTTCGGCTTCACTTTTAGATTAGCATTATATAGCTAACGCTGTGTCTATCAGTTTTAATGGTCTGAGCTTGTAACACGTATATGCATACAAAGAGTTTTTTTGAAACATAGTGACTTGCGAAGAAATTCGAAGAAATCTTTTAAATAACTAAGAAAATCTTAATTATTTAAAAGTTTTCTCAAATAGCTATATCATTTAAAAAAAATTATTTCAATTATTTACAGATTTTTAGATTGCTTTACCTATCTTTCAGAAAATCGTTAAAAACACAAGTTAACGTTGTTTTTTAAACTTTATCCCCTACATATTTTTTTTTAATTAATAAAGGTTTAATAAACTTAAATCGTGTGCGGTTTATGTTTATAAGTTTGTAATAAAAAATTAAGCTAACTATTTTTTTATTATGAACTTATAAACATCGGGGGGTCAAAAACAACTGCTTAATTCTTTATTCCAAATGAAAATCATTTTTGCATATTATTATTATTTTTTTGAATATATATTTATAGCAAATTGTATTAAATAATAATTGATTATTATATATTTTATCAAACGCCCACTGTTTTTAGTAGAAGATAAACCTACGTTTAGTAAATGAATAAAAAAAATCATCTTGGAATTTTACATTTAATATCCTTGTAGATTTACCAAGACAAACTTTAACTTTATTTTTACGATACATTATTTACAAGATTGATTTAATATTTAGTTCTTAATCAATTCCCCAAATAACTGTTGATAACTCTTGAATGTAAAACAATTTTTACTATATTTGAAAATATTAAAGAATGAGTTTAGTGTATTCCTTACTTAACATTTTAATTTAGCAAAATGCCAAAAAATACATTTTTATGGTCGTAATTAAATACTGTGATAAAGTGAAATATTTTTTGGTCTTAAAAAACTGAACATAAAAATATTAGAATTCGAAAGCATTTCAGCAAGTAACTAAATAAATATGAAAATTTTTTTATTTTGAAAAAGACCTAATAAACTTTTATTTTTTCATCAAAAATAATTTGCCAACACATTCGGCTGAGAGTCACAACACATTCGGGTGAGAATCATAAAAGATTTTTCAAATTTTACAGATTTTCTACAAATATGCTTTAGTTTTTTTCTATATATATTTATATTAATATATATTTTATATATATTTGTTAAATATTTATATATATTCCATATATATTTATATATATATTATGCTATTATATTTTTATTATTTTTTAAATTAATTTTAAAACATGCCTTTTAAGTATTTTTGGCGCGTTGTTTGTTTTTATTGCTCCCATCACATTTTAAATCGGTTTTAATCAAACCAAAAAATGTAAAATGGTTGTTTAAATATTGCAAGGTTTTTTTAACTGTCAATCAAGTTTTTTTATCATCAATCAAATAGCACAGACGTTTTTTTAAATAGTACGGATAAGACATTTTATACAAATTCAGAGAAACAAGTATTTTATTGCGGAGATTTAAGCAGAACGCAAAATGTAGTTGTAACATTGGTAATTATTAAACAACATCTGTTCTAACATTGGTAATTATTAAACAACATGCAAATAAAAAAATAACAAATCACGCAAACTGTAAAAAAAAAAAAAAAAAAAAAAAAAAAAGTTATAAAAAAACAAACCTAAATATTCGGCGTTGACGTCAAAATCAAATTCAGTGATCAAACGTTGAGCTTTAGTGAAGTCATTTCCGTCGATAGCATTTAACAAATCAATTTTATAATCTTGGGTTGTTTGTTTTGGTTGTTTGGAGTAACTTGTAAACAATTTCATTCCGAATTGCATCCATATCTACAGAAATACTTTTTACTTCATTTATAATAATACGAAAATTGGAAAAAATATGTTTAATAATTTATTAGTGAAACGATTTTTTCACGTTTCACAATTGAAAACTTATCTCAAGTGAAAAATTGCTTAAAGTAAAAATTTTTCTAAAATAAAAACTATGTACATTTATATTAAAATAAAATTATACTTTATTCTTTTTGATCTGATTATTCTTATCGCGACTCTTTTAATATATATTATATACAATTTTTGTTTAAAAAAAAAAAATTTTTAAAAGAATTTTATTAAAATTTTATTTAAAACAACTTAAGAAAAAAACTACGTAGGTCGTTAAAAAAGTTCATAAAACTTCATCTATAATTTTACATTAGGACAGGAAATAATTAAATATTTATACATCACGTTATACGAAAGTTTAAACTTTTTACACGTTTCAAATTTGACAAAAAAACGTCTATATAATAATGCCGTGGTAAAGTTTAACATAATCTTTCAGAACAATTTAAAACAACTTTATCAAATCAGAATAAGAATGTGGCATTTGCTGCAAATTCTGATTTAACTCATCGACATCAATAACATTTTCTCAACATATTTGATGAAACACTTTTGCAGCAAATATTTGTAATCAAAAAACATCGAAATAACTAAAATATAACTCTATAGTATGTTCGTATTTAGTCATATAACAATGTTTTGATATTGCATTGAGAAGTGCCCTGTGAATGTTATAGTCAGGACCGTCCCGAGGGGGTTGCGTTAGGAAAATTATATTCAAAAATTAGTGGGCAAATGTGAAGGTTGGAATCGGCAAAACTGGAAAAATTTGGAAACTGACAGACAGCAAATGTTAACCAACTAGGACCTTTTTTTTTACTTATTTCTTTATTTAAGATTATCAAGGCCAACGATACAGGTTTTGAATTTGAGGGGCGCAATCGTCAATTTTTTAAAAAAAGTCCTTTATATATATAATAATATATTTACGGAAAATTTATCACTATATATTCACTAATATTTGTAATCAAATTACTAATATTAGTAAGTTATATACGTATAAATTTATTATATTAAAGTATATATTAAGGTATATTCATACAATCATATAGAATATCAATTTTATTTAAATTTTAAACTTTAAATTAAATTTTTAAAACTTGTAATAAATTGTAACAAATATTAAAAACTTAAAAACTTGCAATTATTAATTGCATTCATTGCTAATTATGTCAGCAATCGAAGATATAGCTACCAACGCTTTTAAAGCGGCAGTAGATCTAAAGGATTTAAATGCTACTCTCATGAAAAGTTACGAGAACGATATTGCTCATATGATCGCAGCTCTACTTGTTGCACTAGCGGAAGAGAAACGATCTAGTGAATTAAGAGAAAAAGCCCTGAAAAACAAAATTGATTTACTAATAAAACAAATTAATGATTTGAAAGAAATAAAACCAACAGCCACACCATCATTTGCATTTTTGCTTAAGGACAAATCGAATGAGAGCAAACAGTTAACGGCAGCAGTTTAGCACTTTTATCGCTGTTCAAAATAAAAATATTTGAAGTCGTGAGTTAAATGTCATTTTAGTCGGTCTTAATAAGTCTAGTACTGTAGACGATAAAAAGCTTGTTGAGGATTTTTTTGTAGCAACAAGATTGTAGGACACTACTGGTATCGCACGTGTTAACCGCCTCAAATCGAGCAAAAACAAAACAAAATTGTCAAACTCGAACATTATCCAGGTTTCGTTATCAAATCTTTCATCTCGAGCGGAAATACTCAAAAAATGCGCACATTTTAACGGAGCGTTAGTAAAAAATTTCTTTTTAACTACATTAACAAAAAAGTTCTTTAAAAATATAAATTTTTAAAAATAAATGTTTTATTTTAGTATTAGTTTTATTTTAAATAATTTTAATAAGTTTTTTGTCATTTCTTTACTTAGATATATTGTAATGAAATTTCAGGCAAAAGCTCCGTTAAGTTTAACGGAGAGATGAGAATACGACTGCTGAGCAACAAACCGAGTTAACACCACACGCACTCAACTCAAATACATTCACAACCAACTTGCCGCTGCTAACATTCTCGATAATCCGTTTCGAAATGTTATACATGGAAGAACAGGTCGCATCTGTTGCATCGATGTCATCGAATCAACGTCCAATCAGTGCTACGTATTTTCCTCCCCAGCCAGAGCTCTGTCAGACTACGCTAGCTAACTCAAAAATCTCCACTGCCAATTAGACGTCCTAGACCAATAACTAAAGCAAAAATAAAACCGATGCAATTCGACACTTCTACAGTTTCACCTAGCCATTTATGTTACTGGACCTCTTGAGCCAAGTACATTAATGCAGGTCGAGATACGCACAAATTTCTCAAAATATCGCATCGTACTGCCTGCAAAAAAGTTAAAAAATGGTCAAAGCTGGTAGCCAGAAGTACAAAGAGCTACTCGTCAGGGATTCTAAAAGCAACCCTAAACGCTTACATGCATATATAAGAAGCAAGCAGAGCGTCAGTTACAACATTACATCGCTTGAAACAGTCAATAGCAACATCACAATCGATACCGGTAATATATGCGCATCGTTAAATAACTATTTTCAATCAGTCTTTGTTTTAGAGCCTGAAGGTTCAATGCCAGGCTTCGAAAGTTGTACAGAAGCAGTTTGTGTTCGATCGATCCATCAATTTTCTCTATCAATTTAGTACAAAAATGCCTAAACAGCCTTGATAAAAGAAAATCAACCGGCTATGATGGCTTACATCCACGGGTCCTTGGTAAATGTTCAGCTACCTTTGCCAAGCCTCTTTTGCTTATCTATAAATGCTCGTTTGCAACTGGTTTAGTTCCTGACTAGTGGAAAAATTGAATGAAACACCTATTTTTAAGAAGGAGAATAGGCTAAAAGCATTTAACTACCGGTCAGTCTCGCTCACTTCCATACCTTGCAATATTATGGAAAGTATTTTATAAAAAAGAATAATGGAACACTGCGTTGCTAATGGTCTAATTTCTCCAAACCAGCATGGCTTTGTTCATTGTAAGGGATGCGTATCAAACCTTTCATAAACTCGGGACATCATGACGGAAGCAACTCACTGCAGACACACAGTAGTCGTCATTTACACAGACTTTGCAAAGGCGTTCGACAAAGTACCACATAAACGCCTCCTTCATAAGCTGAGAGCGTACGGTATTCAAGGCGCTCTCGTTGATTGGATTGCAGCTTGACTAAACAATCGATGTCAACGAGTGGTTATAAACAGCATTACTTCTGAATGGAAAACAGTCACTAGTGGAGTGCCTCAAGGCTCGGTCTTGGGCCCATTGCTATTCGTAATCTTTGTATATGACCTGCCGGACAGAATTACTCATCATATGAAACTGTTTGCCGACGACAGCACAATAATAGGGATAATTAAAAAGGAGTTGGATAACATCACTCTCCAAGATGACGTTGACAGAGCAGTGGAATGGTTACATATTTGGCTCTTGCATTTCAGCGTTGAGAAATGCAAAGTAATGCATGTTGGGCGCGGATGTAACAAGTCGACGTTCAAAGGCTTAATGTCTAACGTCGACGGCACCCGTCGTCCTCTCAAAAAACCCGCAGTCGAAAGAGACCTTGTGTGATGGTCTTGAATGATTTTAAAGTCAGACCAAAAATAGAGTCAGCCGCATCAGTAGCAAATAGAATGCTAGGGCGACTCAAAAAAACATTTCGCAGTCGCAGTTTTTATTTATGGCGCACTCTGTATCTCACTAACATTCGCCCCCATCTTGAGTTTGCTGTACAAGCCTGGTCACCGCATTTAAAATCAGACATTGCCATTCTCGAGCAAGTCCAAAAACGAGCAACAAAAACAATATCGACTATTAAACACCTGTCCTATGAAGATCGACCCCAACGGCTCGGTTTAACAACTCTTGAAGAACGCCGCAAAAGAGCAGATCTTATCGAGCAATACAAAATCACTCGTAAACTCGAGCTTGTCAGTTTTGTCGTCCCGCAAAAATTTTCAAAAAAGTAAAGATAAGTATATTCTAAGAGGCCATAACCATAATCTAGAACGTCAGATGGTTACAAACTGTGAGGAGCGATATAACTTTTTTTCAAACGGAATTGTCGCCCCATGGAATGCGATTTCGCAAGAAGCAGTGAACGCTCAATCCATCAACGCTTTCAAAAACAACATAAGAAAGTAACTTTACAGATACAACTGCTGCTTTGTCTGTAGTGTTTGTATCTCCATGTTTGTCAGCATAGTGGGGCCTGGTGTAGCACCACTTCATCAAATTATAAATGGATTATTGTATTTGTATTTGATCACTGAAATAAATAAATAATAATAATATCTAGAATTTTCTTTAAAAGAAAAAGGTCCTTTAGAAAAAAATGTGAAGATTTACCCCGGCCCCCGTGTCGTCAGCTCTGATTATAATTGGTAAAAAAAACTTTTCTGAGTCGGCAAATAACATATAACCACTTCCTTTAAGATCTCTTTGGGACAACCCTGATTATAATCATATAAAAATGATGCCCTATTCAAAATAGATTAGGGGAGGAGGGGGTGTATATTTTACATTAGTATAATTTCAAACCTAGTAATATTTTTGATGAAATTTTAAATTGTTAAACAAATTGAAGAGTAACATTTTTTTTTTGAAGAGTAACAAATTTTAAATTGTTAAACAAATTGAAGAGTAACAGAAAGTTTACTTTGATCAGCCATCTTAAATCATTATTTTTAACTATTTTAAAAGTAACTAATTTTAAAAATTACCAATTTTAAAAGACATGCGACATTATGAAGGAAATAATTGGTAAAAGTAAAACTGATTTTAACAAAATGCCTTCTAGAGTAATAATTAATGAAAGGGAAATAACATTGGTGCTGATCTAGCATCAAAAATTCAAAGCACAAAAAATACATTTAAAAGTTACCTAACAGGCTCATGCTGCTCTTTAAATTTCAATGAAATAAATCAAGACGAACTTAAAGTAGCTATAAAATCACTTGAAATTAAGTCCCCAGGGATCGATGACATATCCTGCAAAGTAGTGTTAGATGTTTTTGAGGAGATACGTAAACCAATCTTACAAGTATTTAATTCATCAATTACAACAGGTATTGTACCTGATAAACTAAAAATATCTAAAAATATATCGATCTATAAATCAGGAAAAACCAATTCTTTAAACAATTACAGGCCAATCTCAATCCTTTCGGTATTCTCAAAACTTTTAGAACGAATAATCTATAATAAATTAAACGAATATTTAAAAACGAACAAAATTATCAATAAAGGTCGATATGGTTTTCAAAAGCTACACTCAACTGAGCATGCAATCCTTGACTGATCGAATAGGATAAGTAGATCATTTAAAAAGAAAAAAATTCCATTAGGGATCTTTATTGATTTGTCAAAGGCATTTGACACCGTCAACCACGAGATTTTACTGGAAAAAACGAAAAACTATGGCGTAAAAAATCAAGCTTTAAATTGGTTTAAAAATTACCTAAATAATAGACAACAGTGTGTTATTATAGATAAAAAAAGCAACTCAAGTTTACTCAGAACAAAATGTGGTGTACCCAAGGTTCCATTTTTGCTCCTCTTTTGTTTCTTACTTATATATAAACGATCTTCCAAATGCCTCTAATATCTTTAAAACTATAAGGTTTGCAGACGACACAAACTTATTTTACTCAGCAAAGACAATTGAAGACCTTTTTGAAAAAACAAATGCTGAACTAAATAAAATTAATATATGGTTTAAATCCAATAATTTGTCACTCAATATAGAAAAAACTAAGTATATACTATTTCACTCTAATCAACAAATTAAAAAAATACCCCTGAACCTACCAACACCTAATATAGAAAATATAACCATCAAAAGAGTTTTGAATACAAAGTTTTTAGGAGTTCTAATTGACGAACATATCTCCTGGAAACCCCACATAAACTACATTAACTCAAAAATATCAAAGAACATTGGTTTACTATACAAAGCAAAACCATTTTTGTCACAAAAAAGTCTAAAACTTGTCTACTTTTCATTCATACATAGCTACCTGATGTATGCCAATATAGCATGGGGCAATACACAATCTAAATTAGAACCACTTTACCTATGTCAAAAACACGCTTCAAGACTATTATACAACAAAAATAAATTTGCTCATGCTCAACCCTTATTGGAACAAATGAACGCACTAAATATATTTCAAATAAATATTTTTCAAAATATACTTTTCATGTTTAAATATAAACTAAATCTGGTTCCAGAACATTTTACAGCACACTTTTTTAAAAACAATATAAATAAATACAATACAAGAGCAACAGGCAACTTTAAGATACCGTTTGAAGCAACAAGACTCTCCAAATTCTCAATTACATACCGTAGTCCCTATTTATTTAACAAATTAGTTTCCAGAAACGAATCACTATTAAACCTAAACAACGAACACTCTCTGAAAATAAAGCTAAAATCTACAATAATCAAATTAAACAACTATAAAGAATTTTTTTTAAATATTAATAAAAAATTTAAAAAAATGTAGCTTAACTTTTAATAGAAATCGATAAAAAAAAAATAAATAATATTACAAACAAAGTATCTATGTACAACATACATATATACCACGTATACAACTGATTTTTATGTGTATTACACGTTCAGAAAAAGATACTCGATGACAAGACTGACTTAAGTCTTCTGCGAGCTTCCTATAACTACTAACAAGTAATTCTTCTTATCTATCTTACACAAATTTCGTTTTAATTATATTTATACACAAACATTATTTTGAAATGTGGTAAATAAACTTATAGTCAAACATCTAAACACTTCTCCGAAAAATCAGCTAATTTATTTTTATTTATTGTATTATTTTATTTTAACTGGAATAATATTGAGATATATTTATCGGAATATTTTAACGTGCACTTTATTACATTGTTTTAATTAGTGTTTATTTTAATCGTGTCTCGGAGTTGTATGCAACTATATTTTTGTTTACTTTGTATATTTTGTACTTTATGTTTATGATATTTATGTTTGTATATCTTTACCGCCAATCTGTGATTGGTTACTTGTAAATACTTTGTAGTTGTAAAATAAACATGTAAAAAAAAAAAAAAAAAGAAAAAAAAACTGCTATTAATATCTCTGATCAAAGTAGATTTTCTCAAAACATTTAATTTGTGAAAGGTCTTAAATTTTCATATATCTTTTCTACTTATGTTTTGAAAAAGCAATTTCCCTCACTTTTTTTTTCACAAACTTTATTTGAAATTCTTTCATCGTTAAACTCCTAAACTATGAACCTTCTTCAACCTTCGTCTAGTTTAGGAGTTTAAGGGTGAATAATTTAGGGCCGCTGCACATAGAAATAAGTAAGGCGCAGTACTTCCAGAGGCTTATGGTAGATTTAAAAATGATTGTGAGCCAAATGTTTTATTGCCAATTTATTACCTCATTTTTTAGGCGGGTGTGGGCCATTTTTGCCGCTTAATGACATAAATACAAATATTTAGAGTTAAAAACCTTTACATGACATAAATATGAACATACAAATGATTGGAGTTAAAAACTTACCTGGAAGTTAATTAATTCGAATATTAAAAATCCAGTTGTGTTCCATGCGCGAAATTTTGTCGATTGCACAAAGAATTATGCGCAAATGTAAAGAATCTATTGATATATGTTATACGTAATGTAAAGAGTCTATTGATATATGCTATACGTAAAGTAAAGAATCGATAGATATATGTTATACGTAAAATAACAGTTTAGCATATCATTATTTAATTTTTATCTTCATTGGTTAATTTGATTTGGTTTTTAAAATGTTCTGCAGTATTATTTATAAATGCTACATATATTTTAAACAACATTAAAAAACACAGCAGTCTTACGCTTAAGAAAAAGATTTCTAACAACAATTTACAGACAGAAAATAAATTTTAAGACAACGTTAATATTAACAAATTACACAAATGTTTTAAAAAATCTAAAAAAGAAACATGCTCTAAAAATAAACTAATAAAAAATAAAAAAAATAAAACATTACCAATTTTCAACAAAAAGTCTTACATTTAGTTATTCCAAATAAACATATTTGTTTAAAGTAGAAAAATTCTTATGAAAGCGCAAAACAAATAACATTGAAACGGTTCGTTTTTATCAAAATGGATCTATTAACAATTAAATAACGCGTTTTTAAAACGTAATTTGACCTTAAGCGGTTTTTGCTAATTTAAAAAATCCTTTACGTAAAACCTATTTAAAAATCCATTGTGTCATAGCACATTATTTGTAAGATTTTTGTTTTTAAAAAAACTTGAAATTATAGACATTAATTTGTATGACAAAATTATTGGCATTAAATAGGTTTTATTCATTCCATCTTTCTTGAGAGAACAATCTAGTGATCGACCGAAACTCTATTTCGGTATCGGTTATGACCAAAATTTTAATTTGAACCGATACCGAAATTTCGGTTTCGATACTTTTAATAAATTTAGTAAAAAGAGCACAATTTCGGTTAAAAAACATACCAAAAACTGAAAAATTGGTAAGATTTTTAATTTTTAATGCTAATTTAGAAAAATAGTTATTTTTGAGAATTTTCAAATAATATTTTCACATAATATTTTCACATAATATTTTCACATAATATTTTAGTATTTCGAAATGAAATTTTAAGCCTATTGTTCACAAATTACTTAGCTTTTTACTTTCTAAATAACGCGTTTCCATCTCTTATTAAAAATATTAAAACCGCGGATAATCAAGTCAAATATTTTAAACGATTTCGTTTATTTAAAGAAAACAAGTTTGCTTTAAAATAGTTTAAATATGTCTTTTAAATCTTAATTAACAAAAGACCAAAGATCAATATCTAGACTGATCAAAGAAGTGTTTAATGATTATCTTAATGATTAACCCTGATCTGTATTCTCAAATATTCTCTGGTTGTCTAATTTTCTGGAAGAATAATCCCTAAGAGGTTTTCACCCCTCAACCAATATTGACTAATGTGGAAAGATTATTTTCAACCACTGGAGATATACTGAGCAAAGAAAGAAACAGACAATTACCAGATAAACTGGAAAAAATCTTGTTTTGCAGAGAAAACTGCCAGTTGTTAATTTTCGCTATTAAATTATATCACCAACTTATGTATTAAATCTCAATTTGTGAAACACGTGTAATTAATTTTAACATAATACACGTATAAATGTAAAATTGTGTTTTGAAATAAAATTTTCTAATGAAATTAATTTCAACTCGCAGAAATGTCAGGATTGGTCTCGGTAAAATATTTACCTAAATGTCGGTTTCGGTTTCGGCACCGATGTAGAGTATCCAAAATTTCGGTTTATTTTGACTTCGGCTTTTTTTCTGTTTCGGTCGATCACTAAAATAATCTAATTAATACCCAGGTCAGACATCAGTGATTTTACCACACGGGTAAAATCACTGATGTCACATTTTTCTCATTTTGAGAAAAATGAAATTTAGTGTTTAGTGACATTAGATATCTGTTTATTAATAATTTATTTAATTAAAAGTTTATTTTTCTGACATTTTAGTCCTTATACAACGTAAAAACGCAGTTTTTGTGCTAAATACAAGTATTATTTATTCACAGTGTTCTTTTGAAAACAAGACACTCATTTTGGACATATGTGGTTTTTCCGTTGTAAACTCATCAACTCATAAATTATGTTAGCTTATAACCTTTTAGAACACTTATTTTTTTAAAAGTAGATGGTAACACAATTTAATTTACAACTATAACGTACTAAGTGTGATAGGATAATAAAACCACCCCCACCCCCGTCTTATAATAAAAAAAATTCGAACAAAATATTATATGAAAGTTTTTTTTAACTTTATAAAAAATAGCATTGCAACCTTATCTCTTCCCCAACCTTAACCTATTTACCACAGATGATTCCATGATGTCTGTGTTCCATCACTTTATCAAACTTTATCAAGTTTGTATAAACCATATAAAAACCAATTGTGAACGCAATAAAAGTGTTTTGTTTTTAATTTTAAAGAAAAATAAATTAAATTAAAAAAGATAAAATAAGATCAAATAATGTCTTATTTTGTCCATTTAGAAAATGTTTAGCTTTAGTAAGTCTTTAAATTTTTAACAAAAAAAGGCAACAGAGCTATGTATGCTTGTTTCAGTTTATCAGGCACTTATATATATATATATATATATATATATATATATATATATATATATATATATATATATATATATATATATATATATATATATATATATATATATATATATATATATATATATATATATATATATATATATATATAATATATATATATATATATATATATATATATATATATATATATATATATAAAGAATACAAAAGTTTGTAAATAATCAACAATTGAAAAATAATATTTTTAGCTGTAAAAAAGATGATAAGTGTTTTAACTTGTTCACCAGCACGAGAAATGAAAAATTTGACATTTTATTTGAATATTTAAATCCTAGAAATGAACGTGAAAATATGAAATACTATTATCCTTAACATAATTCTGAGGAAAAGTTACCAAAAAAACTGTATACATATCCTTCATGTTTTCCACCAGAGTCTAGTTATATTTCAAACATAAAATCGAATGACCAACAATTCATGTTTTTAACATGGTTTAGACTTTTTTTTCATTTAAATTTTACTTCATGGTTATTAAGACACCAAAATTTACTGTGTCAAGATCTTATTTTGTGGTCAAATTTGATATACTTAAAACTTGGTACAATACTATTTTGTCCTAATTTAAATCACCAAAAACTTAACATGCCGTAATGTTTCGAAGATGCATATCCTAAAATAAAAATTATTATTGACTGTATTAAGTTGGTTTGTCAAAGACTTTCAAGCCTTTGAGATTTTATGTTTAAAGTCGGAATTGCTTTTTCTGGTGCAATAACATTTTGCTAGTGAACTACTTGTTGCTTTTATTTCTAATATTGAAATAGTTAAGCAATTAGAATTTATTAAAAAAGTGCTATAGGAGAGTGGAGATTCTGTAATTGCTGATTCTAATGACTAATTTCTTATTAAATGATTCACTCAAGCCTTTTGGTGTAACACCTTACACTCCATTAATAAAAAATCAACTTCGTGTAATCGCTGATTTTTTCCATTTAAAATAATATTACGAATTCATGTAGAATGTACCATACTTTATGGATCCTCTTATAAGACTGTAAAAATATATGAAATGTTTGTTGTTGAGATAAAATACACTTTTATCTCAGTAATAAAAGTACATTTACTATATTGTACAATTTTACATCGCTATATAAAAATACCTCAACTTATCTACAACAGCTAAAAAATAACATTTATCAAAATTAACGTTTAAAATAATAATTTCATTATAAACATAAACTATAAATAAACATTGTGTCACTCCATTAAAACCATTGCTATTTGGAGTTGTGCGTTTAAACCATCGCTATTTGGACTTGTGCGCCAAATAAGTGATTCTTCTTAAGAAGTAATACCCGATAAATTATAAAGTTAGTAAAAACACTTATCTGTTTTTTTTCTTTGATAGGTTGTTTCTCCTTCCGTAGATTCACCAGGAAGGTCCAGATAGGTTATTCCTGAAGAACCTACAGAAGGAGAAACAGTCTGTCGAAGAAGAAAAAAAGATAAGTATTTTTGCTAATTTATTATTGTTCTGTTCTTTAAAAACATTGAACACTCTATTTGTAGAATTCACTAACATAATTTATAATTCATTTTTCAACAATTTTAATATTTTTGTTTAAACTATAAATTATTAGATATACAAAATTTTCTTGGCCTACATTTTCATTGATTTTACCATGATTTAACATGTCTTTGGCATTTGTGAACTTTTTATTGTCTTCTGTAAATTGTTTTACCAAAAGTTATTTTTCTTTTTTTATATATATTTTTTTTTACATAGATAAACAGAAAAATTAGTCATTTAGAAGGATTATTTAACCAATTTGTCGCTATTTATTTACATTTTATCCTTACTGGCCTCATTTTCTTGTTGCAAAAATAGTTGCGCAATCGAATTAGAAAAATGCCTAATTAATAATAAGAACAAGAAATGCGGACAATGCATGTCAGAAAAGAACATGGTACTATGAAGTCTGTGTTGCTTATCCATCTGCAAATAAAGCACTTTGGTTAGTATTTGTACTGATAATCAAGAATTTGGCTACTTATATTAAAGAAATTTTAATAGTCTTCACGTTTGTGACCACCTCAACTTTAATGTTGGTTTTTGCGAAGAGGTATGGCTCCTTTTTGCCAGGGATTAGGGTGGGAAGTATATAATTTTCCATTTTGAAGTTGCCAATTCTAAATCATAAGGGTCTGTATATGATGTTCATTTATTTTGTATGTATCAGAGTTCAGACAGTTGTGAGAATATTGCCTTAATTCTTGGGCATTGTGCATACGACATTAAAAGAATTCAGTTTTCAGATTTTAAGCTAAAAAGCAAAAAAGTCAGGTTGTTCTTGGATGGAGGTTTTCATTTCTTTGATGATGTTCTGGGACACCAGAGTTCAGCTGCTAGCTTTTCTAGTTCTATTTACCTAGTTGAGTTGAATTCTTTAAGAAACCATGCTTCTACGCCTTACACACCTGTTAATTTTAATATCTTAAGGAGAACAATAACTCTCTGAAAAGTGCTTACAATGAGAACTTGTGTGACAGAGAAGTCCGAGTGTTTAGCATGTCAGGGTGAAGACATAAAATGTCTTGACCTTATTATTTCTGAAAATTTTTTATTTATACGCGCAAAACGCGAAGTTTTAGACGTTGAGTATATTTGATTGCAGATAGAGTGTGAAGACCTAAAAAAAATATACAAAAGTAGTAAGGGGACTCATGAGAGGTCTCTTAATAAGGCCTTTGAAGATATGAAGGTTGAGCGACAAGTTTACCATGGTAATGTATTTGTAGGTAATTATTGCAAAATATTATTAAGAAACCACTATAAACTTTGTAGTGTTATTGATGATGAAGCGGTTAAAATTTGTACGTGTGCTCTGTGTTTTTTATTAGTTGAAATCTATTTTTTTTTAAGCGAAAACTTCTTTCTGATGCTAAAATTAGTGAGCTTCATCAATATATAAACTTATTTGCTAATGTGTTTTATACTTACTTTCCAAAAGAAAATCACGCGAGAAAAGGGATAAACTCATTTTTAATGTGCTACTGTTTGTAAAATTGCATAAAACTATTGGGTGGCTAAATGAAGATTATTATTTGAATAGTGAGGAGGGAGAGTGTTTGCATAATAGCATAAATAAGAAATTAAGACATTTGCATTCAGTAAGAAATCAGAAGCAGAAGCTGTGTCAT